TCCCCGGCCGCGTCAAACCAAAAGACGTTAAAGGATGGTACTTGTTGTTACCCTGTCTGGCGCTCGGCATTAAGGGGCTAAAACAAGGAGTGGTCGGCTCGGAGTCAGTATACCGTGTCTGAGTGGGGTATTCATGTTAAACTGCGGCATGGTATCTCAGTGAGCTAGCACTATAAATCGGCATCAGTCCGGACTAGAAAAAGCAGTCACACTAACACATACACGTACATGCACGTCGCTATATAAGTGCAATAATCTTGGACGCGACGTTAAACCCAATTTCACCTCACCTCACCTCATACCAGAATTCCCAAACTGAAAAGTGTTAGAAAACAAGGAAACACTGAGTTGTTAAACATCTGACCATGTCTCATACTTTTCGTACCAACTATTTTCTAATTATTGAATTGTCAGTGAGGGAATGAGTTGTGTTTTAGGCCGCAGTCACATATATTCTAGTTATCCTACGACAGCCTGGACACGTTTGTATCAGTGAGTGAGTATGGTTTTTACGCCGCTTTTAGCAGTATTCCAGCCATATCACGGCGGGGGACACCAGAAATGGGCTTTACACATTGTACCCGTAAGGGGAATCGAACCCGGGTCTTCGGCGTGACGAGCGAACGCTTTGACCACTAGGCTACCCCATCGCCCCTGCATGCATAAAAACACGACTCTACGCAAAAGGTCTTGTAAAAAAACCTCCCAAAAACAGTAAAGTACAACATAAGCGTCAAAAGCGTTGTATAAAATATGTCAGTTGCGACTTTACCTCAAGGCCGCGAGATGGGCCATTTCCTATGTACTACTTGCGCCTCTTGACAGATGAGAGTGAAGAGGAAGTGCTTGTTTGATAAAATGGAATTATGGGACAATTTTTGGGGAATACCCTACTTTAATGCCACGTTAATGGAAATCCTACACGTAACGTATCATTTTAGTGCCGCCATTAACAAAGAGTGAGTATGGTTTTACGCCGGTTTTAGCAATATTCCAGCAATATCACAGCGGGGGACACCAGAAATGGGCTTCACACATTGTACCCATGTCGGGAATCGAACCCGGGTCTTCGGCGTGATGAGCGAACGCTTTAACCACTAGGCTACCCGACCGCCCACCATTAACAAAGAGATCATTAAGAATTTAATAAACCGTTATGGTAAATGAACCCTTAGTTAAAGGGGATTTGCCGTAATCTGGTCCTGTACCTAATCCAGTCCGAGCCAGACAAACTAGTGGTTGATAGCATGAACAACACACCCCTCTGTCGGAGCCACACATTTCGAAACTCGATCCTAGTTTTGTCGTCTCTTTCGACTATCATTGGTGCTATTTGGATTTAGCCTGATCACGGAGGACTATCTAAAACACTACTCAAAACAAGTTAAAGAACATTCTAATTTCTCATACGACTATAGTTAATCATGACACGACACATTAATTATAGTCATATGAAAAAATCGTGTGTTCTTTAACTTCTTTTGAGTAGTATATACAGGAAATCTTTAGGTGCGAGTCAGTTCTCCCTTGTGAATGGGATATCTCCAGGAATGCTGCATGGATGCTTGGCGGGTTGAGACAGTGGACACGTGATAACAATTAACAGCAACTCCATTGTGTTATATATAACTATATGGGCGACAAACACGTATCCTGGCACACAAATATGCCATCCATGTGAAACGGGATGTGTGTACGTGATGCCAGGCACGTGACGTGAATGCGTCGCACTAACAGGGTGATTTGGAACCGATGCTCCATCCTCGATAATTCGGTATGTTATATCCCATTATGTTTTATAAATAAAATAGAATGGATATATAATACACTGCAAAAGAAAGCACATGTATATACACTTGAAAATTGGATTTGACTAAAACATTACAAATGTTATTGAAACGTTACAAGGATGAAAACATTCGCCAAAACACTGCAAATTAAAGGTCTGAACCACAACTATGATACCCGTCTCAAATACATCACCATCGAATAACCATTTCTTGTTTGTTTCATTTTTAGCCACCATCAAACATGGGTGTATACTTTCTTTTGCCCGACAGTTTATAATACTGGGCTCCTCCTTCGTTTTCATATTTTAAAAAAATCGAATACCCGAATGAAAAATGTTCAGCTTTAATAACCAAGGTTATTAGTTATTTTGTTATAAACATTTCATAATGGATTCACAAAGATGAGTTGTGTGGTATATACAGAGTTTATGGACATTATTATTATAAATTTAATCATTTGCAACAATTAAACGATTAAATATATTTAAATTCATATTTATGTAAAGTATTTCAGTGCCTGTAACAAAAATATAAATTGTTTGATAGGCATTACTTAGTTGACGGATGACTGTGTCTTGCTTGACAACGGTATAAAGATCTATACCGAAACGTCGCCTTTACAGTATTAAAGAAGTTAATCTATAACTTGTGTTGACTTTAACAGAAATAAAGTTTTACACCGTAATACTTAATTTAATAGCCGAGTAATGACTTGACAACGGGTAATATTTAAGTAATAAGTGAAAACAGCTAGGATATTGGTGAGTTAGTGAGTTTTGTTTAGCACCGCTTTGAACAATTTTTCAGTTTTATCCCGGCGTGCCAACTTGATGTAGGAGGAAAGTGATGAGGCCTTTAAGTTTACCACTTTGGTGAAACTCACGAGCAGGTGCATGTGGTGCTAACAAACCACTTTGGTGAAACTCACGAACAGGTGCATGTGGTGCTAACAAACCACTTTGGTGAAACTCACGAGCAGGTGCATGTGGTGCTAACAAACCACTTTGGTGAAATGCACGAGCAGGTGCATGTGGTGCTAACAAACCACTTTGGTGAAACTCACGAGCAGGTGCATGTGGTGCTAACAAACCACTTTGGTGAAACCCATGAGCAGTTGCATGTGGTGCTAACAAACCACTTTGGTGAAACTCACGAGCAGGTGCATGTGGTGCTAACAAACCACTTTGGTGAAACTCACGAGCAGGTGCATGTGGTGCTAACAAACCACTTTGGTGAAACTCACGAACAGGTGCATGTGGTGCTAACAAACCGCTTTGGTGAAATGCACGAGCAGGTGCATGTGGTGCTAACAAACCACTTTGGTGAAACTCACGAACAGGTGCATGTGGTGCTAACAAACCACTTTGATGAAACCCACGAGCAGGTTCATGTGGTGCTAAGAAACCTAGAAACATACGCAGTGCGAATCTGAGATTCGAACCCACTGTCACCCAGGGTCACACGGAAGACGCGCCAAAGGGTAACAACTCTGCACAACAAATATATCTCCGCATGGATAGTAGAGCTTTAACGAATTATATATTATATGCACTGCAATTAAAAAGAAAAATTAAAAACGTCCAACTTTGATGAATACAATGGCGTGGGGTGTGGATCCAAGAGAGTTCTTTTGTATACTCCTAGTTCTGTGGCAATCCGTGAAGATCCGGGTTAGAATGCATCTTGAAGAACACATGCTTGCCGTAAAAGGCGACTATGCTTGTCGTAAGAGGCGACTAACGGGATCGGGTGGTCAGACTCACTGACTTGATTGAAGCATGTCATCGTATCCCAATTGCGTCGATCGATGCTCATGATATCAATCACTGGATTGTCTGGTCCAGACTCGATTATTTACAGACCGCCGTCATATAGCTGGAATATTGCTGAGTGCTGCGTAAAACAATAAAACATCTATCCATTAATGAAATTGGAGATATGATACACTGGATAATCGGATATGGTGAAGACATAGGTATTTATTTGTCCATGGCTGAATATGTAATGTATGTAATATGTCATCCTCACATTTTTACACATGTATATTATTTTTAAACAAACTTATTTATATTTACGAGTATATTTAACTCAACGCTAGACACACCCATATTTTTGACGGTCTAATGATTGTGACGTTGTTATTGCGTGCGTTTACGATCGAAAGCAAGACACATGTACTATATGATCTCATTATGCCGGGGACCCGGGTTCGAATCCCCACATGGGTGCAATGTTTGAAGCCAATGCTGTTGTCCCCGCCGTGATTTTTCTGGACTATTGCCAAACGCGTTGTAAAACAATACTCACTCACTCACTCTCTTTTATGCATGCAGTCTATTCCAATGAACCGACAGGATAGGCAATGATAATTATCAAAAGCGCTTATTACTGTATTAACCGACAGTCATATTGAGATTTTCATATTTTTGAAAGCAGATATTTTCTCGTAATGCACTTTGATAAAAGCTATTCTTTTATCTGCTCCCCTATATCAAGATAGAACTCAAATAAGAAATTGAATTAAAAAATATATTTTGAAAACCCAACTTTGAACAATTTTACAAGAAAGATATAACATAATGTGCGAAGTCTATGACATTATTCACAAATCTAATACAAAGGTATTCATATTCACAATACACAATAATATACATATACAAAGAAGATATATCCATTTATAATGAGCGGTGATTTATTTCACAAAGTGAATGCTCATGCTGCTACATTATTATTACCGCGGCCAATGGATCAGTGTGCACTCGATTTTCATTCTCAGCTCCCCGGGATGTATGCAACCCAAACAGCTTGTATAGTGAAGTTTCTACTGATAACGTCCAGCTAGCTCCATTATAGGTAGTTCTCCGCGCTATTGAAATGGACCTAGTTTAACGTTGTGTTCATTAAACGGTTAAATCCTTGCCTAACCAGAGAAATAAACATGATTCGGTTTTACCTGCCCGGTACCATGTTTATAATTAATGTTCTTGCAAATTTGTTCGCGAAAACGTTTATATTCGCGCAAACGCAACCACGGAACTTTTTACAAGTAACATATAGTTCCCGCGATTACTAATATGTTTTCAAACATATCTCGGATAATGCAGATCTCGTAGACATAATATGTATAACATGATCTTTTGATGATATTGCAATGATATTCATGGAATTACTTTGAGTTTATATAAATAAATGACAAATGGCGGTGTCGCGGAAGAATTGATCACTACCCACAAGCCTCTATGTTTCAACATGGAAGCATGTGCGAGGCACGACTTTACACAAACAGCTGATGACGAATTAAGTTTTAAGAAAGGAACCATATTAAAGGTAATAATACCAGTTAAAACATTAATCTAACATGTGATTTTGGAAATTTGAGCAGCCAGACTAAGCGTGCATGCACGTTCAGACACCTGTTGTTGTGTGCACTGCGATCACTCTGATGCTTGTTTTGATTTTAAACGGGGCATTTCTTTGACATCCAGCTTATCAATGAATCGCATTTTGTTAGTAATTTATTGAGTTGTGAAGTCATTAATCTGTGGGTATGCCTCGTTTCGATATTTCATGCAACCTCCGTGTACGCAACAAGTAAGAGAGCAGTTGTCTGCTGCCATGACAAGTGCAACTGTAACTCGAATCCGTATTACTCATCGACAGCTAGCATTTGACGATCGACTGTCATCGATACCAAACAGGAAATGAGAAACTATACGTTATTTATTTGTGGAGCAATAATTGTAGCATTATATCCCATAACACACGTATAATTCCGCTTCATTTCCTGTTGTTATTTACAAACCAAAGCTCTTCAATTTTGCTCATAATGATATTGTGAAATAATGTCAATACTATTGATATTATGTATTGGAATGAGATTCAATGTGATGCACCATAACAGTCTTATTAGAAAATATCATAGGATGTGCTTGGTAAACATTAAGTATGTATATTGTAAACATTATCAAAGAATTTGTTCAACAGGGTATTGTGTAATAGCAATACACCCTTGGTTGCCATTTAAAGATGTCAGTACAAATATTTGTTTCTAAAATGACAGGGTTGTTGAGTGCATGAGTGCCTGTTTTCAGTCATTAATGTAAGAAGTTGGAAATGAGTCTTCCTATCAGAAACATGCAAACTCACATTATTTTACACTTGGTATACCTCCATACTATGCCAATAATCAATGTCAGAAACATGAATGATGCTACTTATTATTGTTTTGCATCAAGAGCCCATCTTTAAGAAATGTTATATTTGCACGTTGATGTTTTATTCAAACTCAGTATCTATGCTGCATTTAAATTATCATTGATCAATATAAATTGGTTGTGAGTTTATCATTTACCATGTTTACAGTATACAATTTTTATCAGAATCATTTATATCTACATATCTGTATATTGCTAGTGATTCTAACTTAATCAGGTAAGCTGCTCTCATTAAGACATAAACTTTGATAATACAGAAATGGATGAACTATTTCAGCAGTGGAAGACATTTACTGTCCCTCTAACCCTGCTAATAGCAGACTGCTGTTATATTTATGGTAGTATCTCTGACAACATTAACAGCATTAGGCTTGTCATTTGATTGTGAATAGCAGGAGTGCCGGAATGTTGGCAATATTTATCTGCAGCAGTCTACTTTCTAAAACTGTTTTAAAAATCTTTAATTCATGCTTCCTACAAACCCCTACCGCTCTGTCACCTCCTACGGTTACTCTCCCAAACATAGGCTGTAGTTTCAACAGGTACAAAACTCGACCATTTATGAAAGGGTGTTGGCATTGAAATCTGAAAAACTGCTTGAGAAGTCTTGAACGTTTATATTCCAAATGTGTCATGCTTGTGTTTACTTGTATTGGCAGTGTGCTCTGTATTATTACTATTAATACCTGACCTGATTATCCATCCAATAACATGTCAATCATTATCACAATTATGGCATATGTGTGTGGTACATACTTTATAGATAAACATGTGTTTTCAGATTTATGCAGAGCTCCAGATTACTTTTTTGAGCAATTGAGTTTTTACTCTAGGGTTTCTATTTTAATTGGGCTATTACATTTTTCATTGGGTAACCAATATTTTTTCACTCAAATTAGTGAACATTTTAAGATTTTGAAAAAATGAAATAATGTTTTATATGTATATTATATACCTGTTCTCAATATATAGGCTTGACTCGGAAAGTAAATAAACTTGTAATTGTGTTTCGGAAATTAGCTCCTTTGTGCGCCTGCTGAAAAAGCTTCATTGGATAATTATGCAAGCTATTTTTATACATTTGAGTTTTTCATTTAATGCATGCGTTACTGTACACAAGTTAATTGAAAGTAATTGGGTTTTGAATATTTTTGGGGTATATTTTACCCAAGTACGCTGCTTATCTGTAGCTCTGGATTTATTTGTGTTTTTGAGTGGTCAATGCCCAGTATTTTATATTTGGAACCAATAGGGTTTTTATCGATATAGTAAAATGCAGGGGTTATAGTCACTTTCTCACGTGCGCTCTTGGCGTGAACTTCTATATAGTTGTGAGACGGACATGGCATCCTCTGGAATGCTATGAAGTCATCCTGGAATGTGATTTGGCATTCCTTTTACAATAACACTTTGATTGTAGTTTGCAGTTGTCTTGTTGACACTTGGGATGAACATGTTAATCAGTATGTTGAAGGGAGATATACTCCTTCAAAATATATCTTTGGAAGTTTGATTTGAGGTTTCATTAGAATATTGTTCTTGGTCGTGATCATGGACAACCGAAATGGAGAAACCAAATACCACTTGTGTGGGATTTTAATAATGCCACTGCATAAAAAAGGTAGTAAAAGTGATCCTAATAACTTTCGTGGTATATCACTTCTCAATATAATGGGTAAAATGTTTTCTTATGTTCTGAATAAAAGACTACAATGTTTCTTAGACTACCAAGGCATAATTGGTGAATATCAAGGGGGGGTTTAAGAAAGATCATTCAACTATTGATAACATTTTCATTTTGCAAGCTATTATACAAAAGTATATCACTCGCAAAAAAGGAAAAGTATCAGCTTTTATTGATTTTCGAAAAGCATTTGCTATGGTTGATAGGAGTAAGTTAATGTGTATTTTATTGCAAAATGGTATTCATGGCAAGTTTTTATGTATTATCCAGAGTATGTATAATCATGTTAAAGCAACTGTAACATACGATTATGGCAAGAAAATTACTGAGTATTTTTATAGTTCATGTGGGGTAAGACAAGGGTGTACTCTTAGTCCAGTACTGTTTTCTTTGTTTATCAACGAATTAGTTATATGTTTGGAAAGTAAATTCCAGGATGGTGTTTTTATCTCAGAGGAAATGTTAAATATAATTGCCCTGTTGTTTGCCGACGATTTAATACTTGTTGCAGACAGTGTATTAAAATTACAAAAGCGTCTTATATTTATACTCTGATAAATGGGGTATTGATATTAATACTGAAAAGAGTAAAATTATTGTGTTTAAAATGGGAGCAAGTAAGCAAAGCACTTTGGTCAGTTAAATCGTTAATAAGACGTTATGACATTTCGGTTACGGAAGCATTCTTTATGTTTGATAAAAAAAATATTCCGATATTAATGTATGGTGCTGCGATTTGGGGATACCAAAAATGGAATACGAAATTGTTCACCGCAAATTTTGTAAATTTTTATTTCACACGGGCTACAGAACTGCAAATCCAGTAGCCTATGGTGAATGTGGTAGGTATCCACTTCATACTATTTATTATGTAAAATGCATTAAATTTTGCAAATGAGTCCAAACAGATACCCATACCAGTGTTATAAAATGTTATTATCCATTGCTGATAGAAAACGTCCTAACTGGGCATCGCATATCAGACTTTTGCTAAGTCATCATGGTTTTGGGGATGTATGGGCTGCACAAGGCGTTGGCAATGCAGAATTATTTGTACATATGTTCAGCGAAAGAGTTAAAGATTGTTCGTTTCAAGATTGGCATGCATCTCTAGGCAGCAAGACCCTCTCATTCTATAAACTTCATAAATCTAATATCGTTTGTGAAAAATATTTATCAAATATTAAGCATTGTGAATATAGAAGGCTAATAACCAAATTTAGATGTGGACAGAATACTCTTGGTATTCAACTTATACGTAGGGGTGTTGCTAATATTGAGGAGGATGTCGTCTTATGTAAACACTGTCATGTAATTGAGGATGAACTTCATGTTATATACAACTGTCCTCTTTATGCAAGTCGGCGGGAAATGTATATCCCAAAGACAGTAAATCATAATTATTTTTGTTAAGAAAGACTCTGTCAACTATCCAACAACGATGCAATGATAAATTTTGCAAAATTTCTTATGTACGTGTTCTCAACACACACACACAAAAAAGTATCAATTAGGTAACTCTTAGATAAATAAAATTTAAATGTATTTTGTACAATGGGTCAAATGGCCTTATACAAATAAATCTGTCTGTCTGTCTGTCTGTCTGTGTGGGAGTTTAACATATGGTGGGGGTGTTGGGTAGCCTTGTAGTTAAGTGTTCACTCGTCATGCTGAAGTCCGGGTTCGATTCCCCAGGGGAAACAATTTCTGATGTCCCCTAATGTGATGCTGCACAGCGTGATCCAACTCAGTGATGTCAAAATAATGATTAGCTCTGCTCCTGATCTGCCTTGTCAGGGTAAATTGATTCACTATCAGGCAAATCTTACATTAACCATGTTAACAGTGGTGATTCTGGCTCAGGATAAATGGTTTGGGTGGTTAGGATCAGAGACTTGGTTGTTTGAGTGTTGGCAGACCTAGATGGCGTGGATCGTTGCTCACAGTATCAATCTGTGGTTGTCTAATCAAGACTCCGCTAGTTGCAGGTCGCCGTCACCTAGCTTATATAGTTGAGAGTGGTGTGGTGTTTAACAACAAACATGCATAAATGTACATGTAGAATTATAAATACTGACCTTTATGATAAGGATGTTATTTACAAGATACAAATGCAACTACTGACTTCAATAAGCAATTTTTTGTAAAGTGGCCATCTGTACAGGAGGGAAAATGTGACAATGATGTTATGCAGAATTGTTCCTTTTGTATGATCAGAGCTAAGTTTCACCCCACTTTTAGCAATATTAAAAAAAATTCAAATGTATTACAATACAGACAATATACAAGAACCATGTTCTTATAATATGGGCGATATGGTTGCCAAGTGGTTTAAGCGTTCGCCTGTCATGCCAAAGATCCAGGTTCGATGCCCCACATGTGTACAATGTGTAAAGCCCATTTCTGGTGTCCTCCGCCGTGATATTGCTGGAATATTGCTAAAAGCGGCGTAAAACCATATTCACTCACTCATGTTTAACTGTAGAGGGTCATAGTTATGTCCGTTGTTGGGGATGTAATTGTTGTTGACGTGTATTGGATGTCAATTCAACACCATTATTACTGTAATCTGGTACTTGTTTATATTTGATCGTAACAATCATCAGGTGAGTGAGGGAACACTCGGCTGCCTCAGTCCATGATCACATGATCCAGACACAATCATTTTCCACTTAATTACAAGCTAAACAACAAACACCAAACACCAAACAGCATGAACAGAGTCATAGTCGAAGGTCAAGATATTCCCTTGTTATCCGAGAGTTTTATTCCAAAGGTCATCTTGGAGAAAAATTACATGTATGTACCAGCATTCCTAGTTTTGTCCCCTGTCTAATAGTGATCAGGACTGTGGTGATGTAGTTCATGGCACAAAACAACATGCTCTTACTCTCACTATTTAGCGGGGTGGTCGGGTAGCCTAGTGGTTAAAGCGTTCGCTCGTCGCGCCGAAGACCCGAATTCGATTCCCGACATGGGTACAATGCGCGAGGCCCATTTCTGGTGTCCCCCGCCGTGATATTGCTGGAATATTGTTAAAGCGGCGTAAAATTATACTCACTTACTATTCAGTCTATGTAGATTGGCTACTTGGGCCTATCCTGTCCCAGAACAACAATGTGAAACTATTTATGTGACAGGTATGAAGACATTTCTTATGGTTCTGTTTCAGATATTGAGAACCGATGAAGACAAGAACTGGTACAAAGCTGAACAAGATGGAAAGGAAGGATACATACCAAATAATTATGTAGAACTAAAGCCACATCCGTACGTTTCCTCATCTGATTTGTGCTCTAGCCAGGAATTCCTTGCAAATTCTCCACAGAGAAGATAGTGTGATAAGTGAACCAAATTATTATTTGTATAACAATTAACATGTATAAATGTTTCTTAGGTATTGCCACAAAGTGTCTCAATTCAGTGTGGAAATAAATTTCTGCCTGTGGCAAGTAACTTTTCTGTTGGGCTGCATGACTTTTTCTTCCATCTGCCTGACTGTCTGGCAGATAATTTTAAGACTACTTACATATTCAATTTTATCATATTAATTCTCATAGATGCTCAAGTAACATTTGCATTATTTCAACTGAACAAAGATGCAATTTGTCCCCGTTTTTTCACAATGTTTCAATATTTATAATGGTGGTTGGACGTAACACCGATGCATTGATGGATCGCGAGTAAAAAATATCGATTCATGTCTTAAATGTTTACTTTAATGGTTGTTACACCAACCACTAATAAGTAGTGAAATTTAGTAGCGAAAAAGTAAATATTTTAATACACCATACTTGACACTGCCAACTGTAAATCGTCAGTGTGCCAGGTATTTGGCCATCCTGTCTATGAGAAAGATGGCTTAAGCACCACAGATAAGAGCACATACAAGTATCGTGATACGTATCGGATCGTGAACAACATATCGTGATATGTATCGGATCGCACAGTTGATGTATCGTCCCAGACCGAATTTATAATGTCTGAATGCAGGCAGGTAACTTTGAAGATGTGCAGGCAACATTTATGGGTCACCTGCCTGACTGTCTTGTTGGGTTTCAAAATTATTTCAAACACTGTCTCTATTTATTAAAAAGTTGTTACAAGACCTGAATATAGGCAATATGGTTATTTTACCAAGTATGTTCTTAATTTCTATCTTACAACATGTACAACATGCACAAAATCTGTATATAAATATGTCTCATGTATAACCTACTTAACCATTTACATGAGCATGATTAACAGAATATTGTCAAGATTATTTTACTCACAAATACTTTCTTCTCATTTTTAACATGTTCAGCAGTGTTCCTTTAAACTGGTAAAATAAAACTTCGTGCAAGAATTGTTGACGTATCACAAGAACAAAACTTGGCATTCTCATAAATGTGATATCATTACGCCAGGTAAAATGTTAGCTGACTCATCAAGTTCATGTTTTTGTTGTCGTGTTTTACATGAGAGGTTTGCCTTGTATCTGTTTATGACAACTGAAGGTTAAAACTGTATTATTGTGATTAAAAACCTGCAACAATATGTATTGCAAAACGATAAATGGGTTGGTGTATTGAGAAAAGACTTAAGTGTGTATCAGTAATGACATGAATGAAAATCTTCAAAAGTGGATGCAAGCAGAATGTTTAGGGCAATATATTCCAGTACAATATTCCAGTACAATATTCCAGTACAATATTCCAGCTAATATGCAGGGGTTATCTGGACCTGCTCAGAGACCAATATTCGGCCCCAACTCTGCAGTAAATGACAATACAATACCCAATTTGAATATTAAAAAATACCAATACCTCAGAATTTTCAAAAATAAGTACTCTAAAAAAGTCAAATTTTGAACTGTCTCTCATTTCTCCCCCCTCAGTGACCCCCAGTAGGTCTGCCAAATGCACTTTGTTTAGAGTCTGAGATAAATCCCTGACACAGCTCTACTGAGAGTTGGTCAGCTGCTTATCCTACATCAGTGTCAGGTCAGAATTGGGCCCAAATTCTTGAGTTTGAATTCTTGGAGATATTTGAGCATTGTGTAGATGTTCATGATCAGGTGGAAGCATGTGACTTAGTCTAGTTAGAATTGCTGGAGTCTGTCTGTTGTGCTCTTCCATGTGCAATGGTGGCCATGTTTGTTGCAGGTGGTATGTTGGTTCTATATCACGGATGAAGGCGGAGGAGATGCTACTGAATGGGAACCATCAGGACGGGGCCTTCCTTGTACGGAACAGTGAGAGCACGCCGGGGGAGTTCTCTATATCAGTCAAGTAGGTTGTGCAGTCACTTCACACAGGTCCAGAAAAGCTGTGTGTTCGCACGAATATAAATCATCATTAACAAATTACTTTTGAGCCGACAAATTTGAGTCTACTGGCTTGAATTTGGCTCTTTGGGTCATTTTTGGTAGATGTAAGTGTTATGAAGCTTTAATATTAAAAGAACTAAAATTAGTTCTTAGGCAATAGCTTTTGGAAAATTTGAACCTTTTTAAATTTTCATTTTTCAATTGTTTTTTTTGTTTTTTGGAGTGTCCATACTAATATGTAACCAAATAACCAGTACATGCATACATTGAGTACATTTCTCATGAATGAGTCTTCTGAATCTCGCTATCAGGATGAAAAATGAAGTAAACATAAATCATCTGCTTGCAGCAAATCTGATCCACAATTGGGTAGATCCCTCTAGGAACGTAATGACAGACGATCGTGATTGGCAGATTGACTAGTTCTATTTTTAGCCTGAGGGAATCCCAGAGCAAAGAGAAAACAATGTCTACACAATAATTTAATAATTTTGAAAATTTCATTCAATAATAATAATGTTGTTTACAATAATTTCGGCAAAATCGTATGTGAAGTGATCAGTAGATCACCGTTATTAACAGCAACCATGGTCTGATTACCGCTATTGACGCCTTGAAACAAACTTTAGTTGACAGAGAATGGATACATATATCATAAATGCCATGATTTGATTCGTTCAAAGTCATATTTGTTTTTGTTGGACGATTCCATGTCAACACGTAATTCTCGCAATCACGTGCACGGGAGCCTTGACGGTGACTGGTCAGACGGGTTCCATGTAAAAAATAATACCCGGCAATAGCGATCAGCTGCTTTGTTTAGGGTTATTATTATTTTAAATATGTTTAGTAAAAGCTGCATCTAAATTAACAAGATATTGGAATATATTATTCCTGATAAAAAAATAGTTTCAGATACAACTTTTGCTGATCCTTGCATTAAAATCCTGTAAAGTTATATCATTGGGTGTGTCTTGACCGAATCACCGGTAGATTCCAAGAAAACATGTGTACAGCTGATTGCTGTGTCTGGCTTAGTTTACGAGGAAATACACAAGGTAATCTTAATCCCTGGATATAAAACAATGCCTAGCTGAACCAAAAATACAATTTAAACGGTATATCAACATGTCTGGTGATTTTTTATCTCAAATTTCGAATTTGTACTGACGAAGTTTCTCATCACCGTTCGTTTGCCTGACTTCGCTGAAGGGGTACGGTGTTCAAGACACTCTAGAGTTGCCTGTAGGCTTCACACTGGCCTGGAAAGATATTTGTTGTTTAATGCCGCACACAGCAATATTCCAGCTGTATGACGGCGCTTTGTAAATTATCATGTCCTTACCGGACCATCTAGTGATTGACATTCATGAGCATCGATCTAAGCAATTGGGGTACAATTACATGCATCAATCTGACCACCCAATCCCATTAGTCTCTTCTTACAGCAAGCATAGCACTTTTTACGACAAGCATGGGTTGCTGAAGACCTATTCTACCCCGGATCTTCCTGGAAAGTACTTGTATTTCTCAGGGAAGATTGAGAATTAAAGAAAAGAGTTCTTTTCTTTTAAAGTGCTAGCATTTCCTTTTCATTTATCATGTTGATGAACAGTTTCACTTATATTCAGGTATTAAAATTAATAATTACTGAACATATGCTTGAAAAATTGAATTATTCTTGGAAAAAAAGGAAACTTTTTCAAACACACTTGCAAATAGTAGTCTCATTCATCTGTTTAGTTGATTTTCACTTTGGTATAATTTTCTGACTTTCAGATATCAAAATGGTGTCCAGCATTTTAAAGTATTACGAGATGGAAATGGCAAGTACTTCCTTTGGGTGGTGAAGTTTAATTCCCTGAACGAACTCATTGAGTACCATCGGACATCCTCCGTCAGTCGCCAACAACCTAAGCCAATTTACTTGAAGGACATGGAACCTCAGGTCCAGGTAATAGAGCTCAAGTAAATCTGCTGATGACCATGTGTGTCTCTCTATTTGTGTGTGTCTGTGTCTGCCTGTGTCCGTGTGCTTGTCTCTGTCTCTCTGTCTCCATCTCTCTGTGTCTGCCTGTATCTGTCTCCATCCCTGTGTCTGTCTCCATCTCTGTCTCTATTTGGGGCCACGGGTGGCCCAGTTGTCTTAAGGTGTTGTGTAGAGTTGTGTCCCCTGGACACGCCAGAAACCTATGATTGTGGTTTGAATCCCGGTTCGCCCCGATTATGTTTCTAGGTTTGTCAGCACCATACCCGTGCTTGTGGGTTACACCAAAGTGGTAAACTTCTGAAACCTGGATCACTTCAGGCTTTCCTTCCACATTAAGCTGACACGCCGCGATATAAGTGGAATACTTTTGAAAGCAGCATTAAACCCAACTCACTCACTCACTTGCAACAATAATACATTTGTCTTCCACAGAAAAAAAATGATATAATTGCCTAGTAACTATAATCAAAATTTTAGTTTTATCAACATTTGAACATGATGCTCATGATGTCACTCACTGAATTGTCTGGTCCAGGCTCGATTATTTACAGACGGCCATCATATAGCTGGACTATTGCTGAGTGCAGCATTAAACATAAACAAATCGAATATATCGATATACGATAGTCCAATGTGATTAGTGCCTAGAACAAGTGACTGCCTCCGTGGTCTAGTGGTAGAGCGCCCGCCCGGAGAGTGGAAGGTCCGGGGTTCGTTAAAAGATGGTACTTGTTGTTACCCTGTCTGGCTCTCGGCATTAAAGGGCTAAAACAAGGACTGGTCGGCTCGGAGTCAGTATACTGTGTCTGAGTGGGGTATCCATGTTAAACTGCGGCATGATATCTCAGTGTGCTAGCACTATAAATCGGCATTAGTCCGGACTAGTACAAGCAGCCACACACACACATACACGTGCATGCACGTCGCTATATAAGCACAATAATCTTGGACGCGACATTAAACCCAATTTCACCTCATTTCACCTCACCTCACCTTGAACAAGTGACATTAGCTGAAGTATGAACTGTTCATCTTCATTTTCAGTATGTGGAAGCCATGTATGACTTTTGTCCAGAAAGCTGTGATGAGCTGGCATTCAAGAAAAAGGAAGTGATCAAACTTATCGACAAGGTGGATGAGAACTGGTGGAAGGGGGAACTCAAGGGGGTGATAGGTGTCTTCCCAGCCAAATATGTCAAGATGAAATAACACCGGGAGGGACAGCGCCACAGTGACATGCTTCGTGATCGGCATCTGCTGCACAAGTGTTCTCTTCAGTGACTTGAGCCAGACGAGATTGTGAACTTAAAAGTCATATTTAATTCCTACATAAAGGTATTCTCATTGAGTATCATGATACAGTTATTTGCAAACTTGTGTTTGTAATTTAGCTTGTACACCAAGTGCCAACTTCATTTTATCAAAACCAATTTTATGTGTTGTTTACGTTGTGCAGATTTGCTTGAAAGCAATTTTTACGGATTATTTGAGCACCCCACCAGTCTTGGAGTATTTGAGATATTTCTTGGACAGTGTTATGTTAGTGTATGGGATAAGTGTGAATGTAGTACAAGCTGTATCTAACTAGAGCAATAATTATTTCCTGGGTGCTCTCAGGCTTCTGTGTCCTGGTGGATGTGTTGAGCTTTGTACTAACAGTGAACAGGACACTTGAAAATGATGCATGATAGATTTGCGTGATTTTTTATGTTTTGTATTACTAAATCTGCTCATTTGTCTTTAGTTAGTTTTGAGGTCTGATATTGATCTGATAGAAAGAACCTGAACGTGTTTGGTGGTTTTCAGTGTAAAAGTCATCTGACTAGAGGTTTCAAATGTAATTTGGACGTATCAAATCAATAACATACCTCAAAATTCTGAGCAAACATAGCAGGTTTATATAGTCTACCATGACAAAATAAAATGAAAAGTGAACGTCAGTGGTAATGTGGTACTTGGCTAAGTCTGTTGTGAGTAGTTTAAAAATGATGTTCTCACTTATAGTCAATTGCCTTTGAGCAAAGTATGCTGTGTACTTGATTTATAGATTTCCAATGATATACATTACTCACAATGTTAAACTAACACAATGTAGAAGAGCAATTGTGAGAAAAAATAGAAGGCCACCCCTCAAAACAAATGAAGCGGATATGGCATTACTTGCAGGGTTTATTTCTATACATACATAACCATAGAAACGACACTTCAACAATGTGATGTTGTGAATGTGACCTTGCAGTCAATGATAGAGAAGAGTCAAATTTCAAGCAATCTGTGTCCCTGAAGTTTATGATATACTCACATATTCGTTCATTATTTGGTGTCAGTTCAGTATGGATTGACACACAGGTTGAATGTTCGAGGAACCTCACTGTGACTGTTTGTACCCTACATTTGCTACTATCATCAGTATTTGAAACTGCCTGCAAATAAGGAAGGAGAAATAATGATTTCTCTAATGATTTGCTATTACAATGATGCAGTTGTGAATGTTTTGAAATAGAGGTGTGTTATTGAGATTTGAAACTTCTGATTTGCCAGCAGGTTCTACTAAGTCATGGAAGAATATATGTGTTGACAGCAGCATCAGTGGTCATGAGAATTGTTCCTTGAACAGTGATTCACGTACAGCACATGTGTAATTATGTGACACTGCTAGGATGGGTTTGTACCAAAATTTTACACGCTTGATGCTCCAACATTCTCTCACAGTTTGCCATAATTGATAGTTCCCTGTAGAATATGAATAAGAATTTCTGCAATGCAACATTTTGAATAATTTAAGAGCTATCTTTTTTAAATTTTTGAAAGGAAAGACTTTTCAGGTGTTGAACACTTTACCTCAAATTGATTCACTGTTGAATAATTGTCCTATCTTGATAATCCTTATGATTGATAAGCCTGTTATCGTCAACCTAAATATTATCATTATTATTACAATGCAAAATATTTTACATACTTTGATTTGCCATGTCTTCATATCTGTAAATATTGTACATTGTAAAAAGAAAAATGACATTTCTGAACTTGCACAATATATCTCCTTACTATGGCTGCATTCGACAGGGAGTACTTTTTCAGCCAAACTGTATATTTGTGTTGATGGAAGTATGATTATGAGGGCTGTTTCAGTGAAAGCAGCTGGAACCATGGTAACCTGTAATAAGGTGGCTGGATAGTTTAAACTTGTTGCCACGGTGACTATTGTTTGAGAGCTACTGTAACTATGGTAACTGTTTGACAATTGTCTGCATTAGTTATATTCACATTTGCTGCAGTTTGTAGTTAGATATATAGAAAATATTCCACCTTTTACATGCTGTAGACAAACCATGGGTAATCCCTCCCAAGCATTTTGACTCGAGTCAGAAAAATGCAGTAAATGTTTGTAATGGTTTATGGTGAGGCTTTTTATCAGCATTATTGTGTTATGTGAAGATATTGCCCTGATTTATGCAACGAATATGCCTGATTTACTTTGCTTTGAGAGTTTTTGCATTTACTAGTGTAGCGATAATTCTTTTCATAGTAAGGAGCATAGCCACTGCAGGGTTCGCATAGGCTTGAAAAGGTCTCGTTTTGAGGCCCATCTTGAAAAATCCTGGAATATAACTTCTGCCTTAAATATGCCTTAAAAATGCCTTTAAAATGAACAGTGTGCCTTGAAAAGGCCTTGACATTTTCTTACCAATGCCCATTATAAAAGAATTGCTTAGTACTCATAAATATGTTTTTTATATTTTTTGAAAAAAATGTATAAAATAAACATTTGAAGAAAGCAATTAGTAGGGATCTCTTTACTGTTGGAAACCATAGTTATCTCCCTTCCAATGATCGTCTGCTTCTCTTAAGAGTCCAATATATAATTTGGATTTCCTTGCATTTGTTGGAGGGACCCTTGAAAAGATACTGGTATTTAATTTTGTGACAAATTCACAGCGAACCCTGTACTGCAATGATGCAGATTTTGTTTTTAGTTCAATTGGTCATTGACTAGGGAAGCTCATTGTGCATGGTTGTTACCTGTCCTGTAGAATTCAACTATTTTTATCAAAATGTTTTAAATTTGTGACTTGAGTTTTAGAATTGAACTTTATTTTGGAATTGAATTTGGGTCATTTGATATTTGAAATGCTCTCTAGGCATGAATTTCTTATAATAACATTACACATTTAGCACGTTAATATACTTAGATCATGGGTCAAGGTCATTCTCAAGGTCATGTTTTTAAACAAATGTTTAAGATGCATTGACTGTGGCTAAATAAACTTGATGCATGTCATCCTGGCAATCTAGGCTTGAAACTGGTAAATGTTTTTGAGTGACCTTGCATGATGTAAAAGTCACTGTGAAGGTCATCTATTAAGTATGTGACCTTGATATTTATAGTGGAACCTGCACAAGTGTTTGCATCAGTAAAGAAATTGTAGCTTTGTCGATTTTGGACTGCAATGCAGACTCTTCAATAGGTTTAATACATTTTTTGTTAAAAATGAAGGTTTTTGCTCTGTCATAGCTTTTGCTAATAGACTGAGTAAATCTATATCACGAATGTGTGGAGCATGGAGAGATTTGTTGATCTCCTGCAAAAGATAGGACTTTTTCACACTGTCATGCAACCACAAGCTTTAAGCATCTAGAAAAGCTGAACTTTGGTGATCAATATTAACATTTGCATGATGATATAGCCAACTGACTGTGGTGTGTAGCCGGTGTCATAAAATGATTACTGTGTTTTCATAATGGTTGGCATGGATTATTCTGTCATTCAGTATTATGTATAAATAGTTAGCATAGATTTTACTGATTTTCCTTTGGTCAAACCAATCTGGATATATATTGATGCGTCCACCTCCAGTATGCCCACGCATACGGACACAGCATCCTCTTTGTCCATTGTAGTAATATTGCAGGATCTCAGATTTGCTGTCTCCCTTTCACTTGTATAGTGTGCAGACATAGATTGTTCTATGGTGGTTAATTATGCCTTATTATGTATATGGTCCTGTGTTTGAAATAGAGAGTGTAAGTCATGGGGTCCTTGTCATAAACTAAATGATGCAATGTCCATGTCATTAAAGTCGTATCTCGTGTTCCGATATAATAGCTCTCTGTGTTAGGATTTGTGGTCACCTCTATTGAAGGTTGAGTGAATTCAATCCTGAGTGAACTTTGACCGCCCAACCTGAATACAGGAAGGGTTGGTCCTTGGGCCAATCAGATGTCAGCTTTCTAAAACAATTAGGCTTATATCTTTACCATCTCGATTCAGAAAATTCTATTGTTAACAAATGAAAACCCTCACAGAACATTTCTTCAATTGTAGTAACTAACATTTGGCTCTTCTGATACTACAGGGTGAATTATATGTCAACAACAATGATGGCACAACATTTATCGTATGAATTCGGAACAAGCAGAATAACTTCATTTTCAAGATACAGAAATGAGATATGCAGGTCTGAATGCTTTGCTAACTCTTTGAGAAGTTTGGAGCCTAGACGCTGATTAGCTGATCAGAAAGTTCACTTGGTGCGATTCCTGGAGATGTTGTCACATATAAAAGTAACTGATTTTTAGTGAAATTGATGGTATGTCAGGTTCAAATACTGTAGCAGCAATCATGGAGGACCCCAGGACCCTCTTTCCTCTAACACTGTATATCTATCACAGAGCTGAAATAATACAGCATGTTTCTGTAACAGACTCGGACTGAATTTCAGTAAATGCCAAATCCTCTGTAATTGATTTCATATTGGGTTTGATCAGAATATGTCATTAACATGGTAATTAAGACATGTAACATGATAATTAAGACATGGTGACATGGTAATTAAGACATGTAACATGATAATTAAGACATGGTGACATGATAATTAAGGCATGGTGACATGATATTTAAGACATGGTGACATGGTAATTAAGACAAGGTGACATAATTAAGACATTGTGACATGGTAATTAAGACATTGTGACATGGTAATTAAGACATGGTGACATGGTAATTAAGACATGTAACATGATAATTAAGGCCTGGTGACATGATAATTAAGGCATGGTGACATGATATTTAAGACATGGTGACATGGTAATTAAGACAAGGTGACATAATTAAGACATTGTGACATGGTAATTAAGACATTGTGACATGGTAATTAAGGCATGATTACATGATAATTAAGACAATGACTTGCATGTGCAGCCATTTTGTGTATAGTGTGCAAATCAGTACTCTTCCATTATTTGAAGTTTGTGAGGTGTTGGTGACTGCTGTGAATGGAGCCCGATATCAAGCCTGGGGCAAATCAAAGTACCTGTGTGATCCATGGTGGCCAACAATGTGATCAGTTCAAGACGTGTATGTACATAATAACTATAAGGGAGCATTCCAAAAGTTGGATGTTGGATAAAATCTTAATTCTTCTTTCTCAAATTTTGCTCTGAAATAAAGCCCATCTCCCTCACAGGGAGAAAAAGCAGTATCCGAAAAAGCAGTCAAGTTGACAACTTCCAAATCTCTTAAGTAATAATGATGGAGGATTTGTATGACAAAAGAGCCTCTTTTGGATGTTGACATTTTCACTGGAGGTTCTTTAGGGTTTGGTATCCAACACTGAACTTTTAAACTGCTCACTTATGAGAATAATGTTGAAATATTTGTACTTTCGTTATTCTTCAATGAACCTGTCAGTGCAATGAGTGTCCAAACATGTACTCATTGAAATATGGAATCATTTGGTGACCTTTTGCAATAATAAGTTTCCTCTGGACATAGGTGTATGGCATCCTGTGATTTAAAAGAAGGAAATGTATTGGCGTTCAGGTTTGAAATGGAGAAAGTTTAGTTACAGTGATTATCAATGTGGATGGTCTTACACCATCCAGTCTTAACATGTGACACATTCGGCCTGTTACTTGACTAAGTATTGTGTATGTCTAAGTGCTGGACTGTGCCAGGCATCTGTTGTTATATGTATATGGTTATTGTATACATTTTGCTTTGTGTGCTCATGTTTTCAATATGCTGTGCATTTGAAATCTGTTTCCTCTTCATGTGTAGCTGTCTGGAACTCTGTGCATCCTTGAATTAGCCCTGGGTGTGTTGACATCTGAATTGTCTATGGCCTGACATTTAATTGGGCAGGCATTATTTTGTTTCAAAGGTTTCAAATATCTTTTTTTTTTAACCTATAAGTTTTAACATATAAAAGGGAACACAGTTTGACCTGGGGTTTAATGGCAGGCGTGTATTTCTGATTTCTGTGCATTGTTATGCCTGGTGTATATTCAAGGCTGGCGTTTATTCATGGCATCACTTGTTCAAGGATTTACAGTAATATTAAGTCCTTACTGAGTAACTTCCATCATTATCGGTTTATGCTATTTCAGTTTCTTGCACTTTCAATCTTGTATGAGTGTCGTGCTTCAGTTGTCAAACCAATATGGAATCTTTGGTAAAAGAAGCATTTTCACTTGGCATAGGAACATGTTGGGTTTAGTCAAGAATTATTTTTCACAATAAGTATGGAAAATACAAACTCCCTTTTTCTGAAATTAACAGTGTTTGGATGAAACTGTAAACAAGATGTTGACCTTGACACTTCTTATTAATATCCCTTATACCGGTAAGTGAGGGATGTTTGTAGGATAATTTGCCTCTGTTAGTCCGGATCACCACCATCCTGACAAATTCAGTTTGGATAATCAAGTGACATTATGATAAATGCATGATTCATTTAGTGTAAAACTTAAAAATCAGGAGGCTTGCACTCTGAATACTGTCCAGAGTAAGACTTTGTACAAGTTTTGATCATAGAGACACTGAAATATTCACTGTCAATGCTTCACAGATTTGTATACACTGTTCCTCCATCAACCATGAATACATACATCCACTTGTTGCGTAGTCCCTCTTTTTAACCAAGGAACCAGTCTGGTTCCAGCGAGATGGAAACCTGCGGATTTTCAGACAAATCAGAGCGCTGACTACATCGCACAAACAGCAGTATTTCTTGTGCAACATGCACCACACATGACTTCAATGTCGGGCTTGGGTTGGGTTTGCACCAAGTTCATGCAGTCATACACATGCACTGTAAATGGCCTAATTTCATTAGCTAGAAATAGACATGTCATTACTACGGCACAAAGCGGCGTACATATTCACGGGTGATGGAGGTGTGTAGAGTATACAAACCTGTGAAGTATTGACAATGTCTCTAAACTTTGATTGCGTCAAGTCTGAATGAAACAGGCCTTGTTTCCCGGGCAGTCGTCCGTATTTGCACCCCTCAGCTTGTGTTTGATTATTCCTCGGGTTTTAGGTTGTTACTGCAGGTTTTACACGTTGTTATGCCTCGAGTACAGAAGCGGTTCTGTAAGCTGCTGAACTGCATGATTATGGCCCGATTCTGTGGTATGCCCAAGGAAAAGGCCGTACCTCAGACATAATGAAGCCTAAGTTATAAGTTGAGAGTATTTTTATCTTGTGTTTTATCTCTGATACGTGTACCAACAAATGTGATGACTGCTTATACTGTTAGTTAGGTCTACTGCATCCTTGATTATACAGTGCATTATATCTCCATACGCTTTTGATACATACCCTGGACCATTTGTTACGTTGCTTCGTTATGTGCCCTATTCAGTTGGCACACCATTAAAACTAGCTATCCAATCAAATTATTCTCATGAGCAAGAGAAATCCTGTGGAAATAAGAGTGATGGAGGTTGTGACATTACTTCCGACATGACCAATAGTGGCGAGAGGGTCCAGGGTTTTTATCACAGACTTGAGAAAAATACCCTGGATGATAAAGGATGGGTCTACTAATGCCCAACAATGTCTATGCTCAGATATATTATACAAGCTGCTTCTATTTAATGCCACAGATGATATTTTTAATCATAATCATATGCTTTTTTCATATGGATATGAAATTCAATGGTTGTAAGCCACAGTAGGTTTCCCATAGGGGATGTAACCCTCGCCGATGTGTTAGAGTATTAACTATCATTGAAATTTTGACATGGAAGTAATCAATCTTTGTATATGAGGTGTAATACTAGCCACTAGCATCATCTTTTCAACTTGTTGGTCCATTAGAATAGTGGTCCACGTGTCCAATATGTATTTGCCAAATTAGTTTTCTTGTCAAAACAGCTACCGTAGTCGAGGTAAATAACACCCTATGTTAAAAGAGGTCTGCTGTGATTTTGTTCACGGAGCAAATTAAATTGGGCGTGTAGTGGGTCATTCAATGACATATTTTAAGTATATTTGAAGGGATGACACCTTGAATCATAAACTGAAAGTTAAATCAACAAAGATGTCGGGTATATCAAATAAAAAATTGGATTTTAAAAGAGGTCGATCATTGCTTCTGGCTAAAGTGAATGAAAGTAGTGCAGCTGTAAACTTTCTTTAGACTATTGATACCATTTCGCTTCATGTTCAAAATTGATGAACTACAATATTTGCATGTTTATCCATATGTAATAAATTTGAAAACGATTAATTTTATGCAAACTGATAACATGTTAAGTGATTTCCTTAAATGTCTCTACAGTAAAGTATAATTTAGGGTGGTATGTAATCTGTTCAGCCCAATAGAATTCTCTTTTGATCAAAGGGGGCATGGGTGGCCAAGTCGTCTTAGGTGCCGCGATTCGCTGTGCAGAGTTGCGTCCCTTGGGCATGCAAGAAACCTATGATTGTGGTTTCGAATCCCGGTTCTCCCCGATTATGTTTCTAGGTTTGTCAGCACCATACCCGTGCTCGTGGGTTTCACTGAAGTGGTAAGCATCTAAGACCTGCATCACTTGGGGCTTTCCTCCCACATTAAGCTGACACGCCGTGATATAACTGGAATTCCTTCTGTTCAATGCAGCATTAAACCCAACTCACTCCATGTTCTCTAACTGAGGAGTAATTAAGTTTTGTCAGGAATAATATTCATGACTTCTAAGTATGAAATATTATGGTTAATGTTCTCTATACATATGAATTAGCATGAACATTTTGACATGTGGATTAGTCACATACCATGTAAACAGAGGGTAAGAATCTTCGAACACTTAACATGAAAACCGTTTTAACAATGAAGGTACTATTTTGTGTTGGATATGCTCAATGTTCCATGCTGGGAAGTTATCTCAGAGACAGCTATATACTCCTGGATCAAAGTTTTTTTATGATAAAAGTTATAAAAGATACGAGACAAAGTGGTAGTTAGTGAATGAGTGGTTGTCTTAGGTGCTGCATTTCGCTGGCACGGTTGTGTCCCTTAGATGAGCCAGAAACCTATGATGATGGGTTCGAATCCCAGAATTCTCATTTGGTCTCGGGTTAGTCAGTATCATACCTGTGCTTGTGGGTGTCACCTTGTTGTTAAGTGTGTGATAATTAAGGGGAGGCTGGGTGCTAATTACGTCGACTACGGTATATCTTGAGGACAGTTATTTGTATAGTAGAGCCTGTAGCAAAGTGTGTTCTATTCATCGTGTGACTTGCAGATTATGCCAACACATATTTTGAACATCTGCAACGAATGGGAAAGTCATTTGTGTGGACAATGTTCAGTACAGTGTTCAGCACGAGTCAGATGCTGCCAAGTTAGAAAGCTAAGCTTCAACATCAAAGCCGTCTAGTCGTGTGAGGAAGTTAAAGAAACTGTGGATACAGTACAGTCAGTGTTGGCAGTCTGCCTTTTTATTACTGCTGACAATGGCCAAACTATTAGAAGACTGTCCACTTTTGTTTAAAGTAAGTCAGTGTTGTGAGCATTTGGCATTCAATGGTTTTTTATGTCCAATATACAAAACAGTATACATTATATTACTCATTTAGTTAGCTTCTGTACAATGTTTTCATTAGATATTAGTGTTTCTTAACTTCTCTTCTTGTGAAAAGTAAAACTGATTTCCAACGTTGCATACATGATCATGAAGATTTGTGTTATTTCTAAAAACAATTATGGGTGAAGATTTGGTGAAGATAACTGTCATTTGAAAACAAGATTTTCTATGACATCAATTGATAATAATTGTGTCAAAAGTATACATTGATGATCAGAATTAATTTTAAATTTTACCAAAATAATCAATAAAATATTTTGACAGGAAATTAATAATTTAAAAAAAATTACATATATATCAAACATTGTTGATGTAAATTGTAAAAGTTACTGGTATGGGCTAGGTTTAACAATAAGTGAAAGTTGTTTCCGCTTGCCCATTCTACAGTCACTGATTTTGTATGCAACATTGTAATCAGTATGATGGTGGCAGGAACAACAGCACAACTGAAGGTCAAACCATCATCTTTTTGTGTTTGAAACTTAACGATAAATATGCCCAGTTCTTGTATGTACCTTTTATTATTGACAGGTAAAACTTTACAAGAAAATTTTCAGAATGACTGAGGCTGTGGCTCGACTTCGAACACACTTTGTGGTTTTGACCGGACAGAGGTGGCTGAAAGTGCCTGGACACTGTCCACTGTAACCAGCATCTCCAGCTGTGAGTTGTGACTACTTCAGCGGGTCTGGAGATGATGTCGTTCCTCACGCTGTAGCTAGTCCCCCATCCCCTCCCTTTTGTACTGTACAGAACTTTCACCCAGTGTCTGTCTCACTCATCCTTACTTTCTTCGCCAGTGTCATGTATATTGATGAAGCTTTTTCTTCAATTAAAGGTGTTGATATTGATGATGTTTGTTTGTGTTTTGTGTTGTACAAAGTGATATGGAATGGGAAGTATATTTGATGTGGGCTTGCCCAGTGGTTAAAGTGTTTGCTCGTCATGCTGTTTCAGGGGACACGGATGGCCCAGTTTTGAAAGGCACCATCCCTTGGGCACGCCAGAAACCTATGATTGTGGTTGCAAATCCTGGTTTGCCCCGATTATATTTCTAGGTTTGTCAGCATCATACCTGTGCTCGTGGATTTCACTGAAGTGGTAAACGTCTAAGACCTGCATCACTTTGGGCTTTCCTCCTACATCAAGCTGACATGCCGTGATATAACTGGAGTACTGTTAAAAGCGGCGCTAAAGCCAACTCACTCGCTCATGCTGTTTCACGGGTTGATCACAATCATAGTGTCCTCAACGGTGATGCAGCTTGTACCCAACTCACCCGCATAGAACGAAGAATCCTTAAACTGGTACATGTGAAGCAAAGTATGAAGTAGGAAAAGGCACATTCTGGCCCAAATTTCAAAGTTGTGACAAAATTTGATATATTGGTATGAAAAATCTAAGACATGTTAAAAAAATCAGCCTTTTTTATGTATTTTTATTTTTTTCAAAACATGCATTGAAATCAAGTCCCATTTTCTCAGGCAAATGAATACATCTGGTTACTTTCATAATGGTGAGTGAATGTTTTCCTCACTTCTGAAATAATCTTGGGGCAGGGTTAGTGAAGTTAGTTAGTGGTTAGGGTTGGTTAGTAGTTCAACATGCTGGTGGTCTGGGCACAAAACCATTATCAGAGTGTAATGTCTGATTTTAATGAGATTTAATGAGAAAGAACACAGATTCTCATGGCCTCTGACAATCACTAGGTGCTCATACTCAGATTTTGAGATTCGAACCAATGACTAAAAGATCCTGAAAGACAACTTTTCACATGGAGTTCATCTTCCCATGGCAAGGGAGTTAACTGACTACTAAAGTCCAGTTTCTTTGCCGAACTTGCTGAAATGTATTCGCTTGATTGTAGCCCCACCAGTGGCTATTACAGGTTATGTCACTTCAATGTCCCTATATTGACCTATCAGATTCCACCTCTCTTATCACTTGCATTTGCTTTAGACAAAATGGTGGCCTTCAGTCAAGACAATCTGATCGATAATCAAGATCTGTATTTTCATAAAACGGGTCTGACCTCGCTAAAAGTGCATTAAATAATTTGAGCACCTTGATTGAAACATGAAAAGATTTGGAAAATATCTGTCAATGCCCAGTTGACGGTACAGATGCTTTGCAAATCCTGCAATCGATCCAAATTTGCACAATGAAACGTTGTTTATGAACTGGACGTCTAGTTCATTTGGACTCTGCAAAGGCTCGTTAGTCCACCCAAATGTAACTCCAGAATTCCAGCCTAGTTCGGCAAGGGTGGAAACTGGACTTTTACAGTCAGATAACGCCCTTGCCTTGGGATGATGGAAGTTGCTGCACTTTAAGGCCACTGGACCACTTATGGCTCACTAAAAATAATAGCGATCAGCATGTCCTTCTGTCTATCAGTCTTCCTTTTCCGGAGCATTACTCCAAAACTGTTGAACATTTCTTGATGAAACTTGCTATACAGTCCAGTGGTGAACTGGTTCGTTTTGATGATTTGGGATACCGGTATTTAAAATCGTTACTTTTATCTTCGCTGTACTGAAGACATCCAATGGCAATGAACCACAAGAGGGGTATACCGTATTCGACTTAATAAGTGCCCACGGCGGTATTTGCGAATATATTGGCTAGTGAACAATCCCAATTAGCACCCCTTCCGATTGATCAATGTTCACAAGACTTATTTATTCGCGTACAATACGCACTTGTGTGTTATATGCACCCTTAATTATGGGCAATTAAATTCTAGAAAAATATATCTGTCGTACATTAACATTTCAGGCTGTCAGCATAAACCACAAAATTTATCTTTCAACCGTTTTTTTCACCAAAATAATATTCTAATAAGAGCCCCCTATTTCTAATTTTGAGAGCACCCTGGGCGCTTATGATGTCGAATACGGTAAGTCGCGTAACTTCATTTCTGAATTGCACTAGACCTGGGGGATATGTTATCTCCTGATGACTGTTTGTTAATGCCATATGAAGGTGGCCTGTAAATAATCCATTTGACAATCCAGTGATTGACATTTTGAGCAATGATCCTCCCCTGTCAAAGTCCGACGACACGTTGTCAACCCAGTCTGACCACCCAATCCATTAACCCACTGCCTGGGACCATTTGTAATGTTCATTCCTGGGTCCCCTCGGGACACTAAGAACAGGTAAAATGAGGTTAAACGTCCCGTCCAAGATTACTGCACTTATATAACAACGGCCATACATGTGTGTGTGTGGCTGCTTGTAGTAGTCCGGACTGATGCCGATTTATAGTGCTAGCCTACGGAGATACCATGCCACAGTTTAACATGAATACCCCACTCAGACACAGCATACTGACTCCGAACCGACCTGTCCTTGTTTTAGCCTCTTAATGCCGGGTGCTAGACAGGGTAACAACAAGTACCATCTTTTAACCTCTTTTGGTATGATACGGCCGGGGATCAAACCCGCTCTCCGGGCAGATGCTCTACCACTAGACCACAGAGGCAATCTCACCAAGGACAGACAACATAAGAGCTGACAGTGAAAATACAAGTTTTTATCAACACAATATACAAGTTCACTTTTTCTTTCTTGCTTTCTTTGCTTTGTTCTTTCCTTTGGGCTTAACACTTTTTGACTTTATCTTGGAGCCCCCAGATCTTTTCTTCTTCTTATCAGCATTTCCACACTTTTGAAGTCTGTGAAAACAAAGCACAACTGAATTATGTACATGCATGGGCGTTCATTATATTCCAGGGATGTGAGAAGGTTTTCCCGAAAAAAGAGAGGAAATGTCTAGTTTTTTATACATCTGATTCCATTTTAAGCATTTTCCTGCAGTTTGGACAACATTCACACCCAGAAATGTCAAATAAACAAATATGGCGGATGCAGTAAAATTTCGAAGTTAAATCAGTACTTTTTAAAAATCAGGTTTTACAACTAAAAGATTGCGCAAGATTGCGCAAAAAGGCCTCATTAAGTTCAAGAGAAAACAAAGGTTTTTAGAAATGACAATTTAGAGAATCCAGTAGATATAATATCACATTGATATAATCTACCCAAGGTATGCCTGAACAAACCTGTGGTTGATAGAGTGAGCACCAACTCACTGCTGGGTTTACAATGTGGGATCAGAGAGGCCCAAACAGAGATTATTCATTACTGGCAACCATAATGGCCAACAAGTCAGTGTTGAAGTTAATGGCAGTCCCTGTTTTGGGGATTCCCACATTCAAATACTATAGACATGATAGAAGACACAAACCAGTACAAAAATATGGAAACAATTAATCGCTGATTTTATTATAAATTCCTTGGCTGGAAACTAGAACCAAACAATTGTTCATAAATCAAACACATCACAAATATAGACCCGTGAAGATCCAGGGTAGAATGGGTCTTCAGCAACCCATGCTTGCTGTAAAAGGCGACTATGCTTGTCATAAGAGGCGACTGACGGGATCGGTTGTCCAGGCTCGCTGTCTTGGTTGAAGCATGTCATCGATCCCAATTGCATGGATCAATGCTTATGATATTAATAACTTGATTGTCTGGTTCAGACTTGATTATTTACAGACCGCTGTCATACAGCAGGAATATTGCTGAGTGGGGCGTTAAACAACAAATAAATAAACAAACAAACATCACAAAGGCTTACTTCTTCTTGAGACGGGCCAGACTTTTATCTATCTTCTTGATGTTGGGTTGTTTCATTTCTGATTCTTCATCTTCTTCACTATCTTCTGCAGCCTGCAATGTTGGGATTCAGAATAGACATCAGATAGATATGGGCCATCAGTTAAAGGCAACATCAAAAAATATTTTGTCATGGGCCTTGTAGGCAATGTGTAGAGTGTTTGGTTTAACGCAAGTTTGTACAGTATTTCATGTTAATGTTGGAGGGATGCTGAAGTGATGCAGATCTCAGATGTTTACCACTTTGCTGAAACCCACAAGCACGGGATTGTGCTGACAAACCAAGAATTATAATCGTATAAGTCTGGCATATCCAAGGGACACAACTCCGCTCAGCCTTTGCCAACTGAGCTACATCTAAAAATCTACCAGAGAAAACCAGTTAAGAGCAACAGAACTATGGAACATGTACACATTTTAAATAGTAAGAGCCCCACAATTTACAAACAAGACACAATCACAATAAACTGTGGATTGTAATGATTAAAACCCACCACATTTTCAGAAGAGACTGCAACAAACCGAGGTTTACTTTGTTTGCTTCCATTGAAAATGTGGCAGGTTCTAATCATTGCTATGCACATGGTTACTGTGCAAGTATATCTTTGTACAGAGAAACTTTATCAATCCAGAGCCCTTTTTGTCCAGACAACCAGCTTTCAGGATATAAAATGAATTTGATGATTTCGCAGGAATCAAACGTTAAATAATGAAACAATATGGAGTTTTACTATCAAATTCTCCTCACTGTTCTTTCTATAGACATGACAGTGAACAAAATTGTAAAAAAAAACAAGAAAATTCATTATTTAATCAGGGATTTATGAGATGCACAAATGTGTGTCCAGTACGCACAATTGTTGAGATTGGGTGCCAAGATTTACAGTACAATAATAAATAAACAAACAAACAAGGTGACGACATGACACCAGTGACCAAAATTCAGTGGGAAACCAAAAAGCTGTAGTTATAGATGATCACATGGCACCAGTGACCTAACCATGAACAAGAAATGAGAAACACCAGTTGTTAATCATACCAAATTCTGTCCCAGACGAAGTCCCCCCTCAGAGGAGAAGTCAACATCGGCGATGTCTGTGATGGTGACGGTGTGGTTGGGCAGATCAAACTCTGTGGCATCCACCAAGTGTTCCACCTCAGGCACCGTGAACACCCGCTGCTGATTCATCCTCGTCTTCATCATCTCTCGTGTCTACATGAACATGTTTCCATGGTTACTGCGTGTGTATATCGATGTCAGTCTTATGTCACAATCAGCTATATTCAAGCTACATCATTTATAACTACAGCATGAAAATAGTCAAGTCTAGGTCAGACCAACCAGTGATTGATAGCATGAGTATACCTGCATGCCACCCCACACCCCCACTAGTTACAATGTAGACAAACTAGTTGTTTTATCCCCAAATCTAATTATTTTAAACAAACACCAGTCTGAAATGAGCTGTGGACTTGTTGGATATGACCAATGGTATCAACCGCTATGTCACACAATCAGTAACAAAGCCAGACCACCCAATCCCCACTTTAGTCAGCTTAGATGACTAGCAGTCTCTGGAGACATATTCTGACCCAGGGTCTTGACAGGGTCGATCATTCTATGTGTTGTGTGAGAGTGACTGATTCTTCCCCCTCTGTATACATGGTATGCAAAATGTTTATGCTAATTCATATGTATAAAGAGACATAAACAATTTTTTTAGATTCAATGACCATTAACCATATTATTACTTCCTTAGTAGTCAGGAATATTAATCCTGACAAAAAATAATTACTCCTCAACCCTAAGAGATGCAAGCCTCAGGACATTTACCACTTTGGCTTAACCCCCGAGCATGGGTATGATGCTGACAAACCTAAAAAAAACCCAATAATGTTTGAACCCACTATCACAGGTTTCTGGTGTGCCCAAGGGACACAACTCTGCACAGCAAACTGCAGCGCCTAAGACAACTGAGCCACCCGTTCCCCCTTTTAAGAAAGTGTTATCCCAAATATAACATTTGTTATAAAATATTCTTCCTAAGGATAAAGACCTTCCACTTCTCCATTTGTAACAAGTCCTGCAGCAAGAACACACCTGCTTCCTTAGTTCCTTCCTTTCTTCAGTCATCCTCTTCTTCACCTTCTCTTCATAATATTTCTTTCTCTCAGCTTTCCTCTTTCTGAATCCTGTCAGGTAGTCTCTGTAGATATGGGAAAATTAGGAAGTATCAACTATTGTTCACCAGATTAACTAGGAGTGTCTGTATTAGACATTTTAGAACCATTTTCCGAGACAAGGGAGTTAACTGATTATAAAGGTCCAGTTTCCACCCTTGCTGAACTATGCTTGAATGTTATGCAGTGCCACCAGTGGCTAGTATGAGTTATTTCCCTTCCAAGTCCCTACAATCAGATTCCACCTATCATATTACTTGCAATCGCTTCACAGGAAATGGCAGCATTCAGTGAAGGCGTTCTGATCAATATTCAAGACCTAGATTGTAATAGAATGGGTCTTACCTCGCAAAGTGCATCAAATTACTTCAGAACCATGACGAAAAATATGAAAAGATTTGGAAAATATCTGTTGATGCCCAGTGGACAGTACACATGCTTTGCAAGTCCTGCAATCGACCAAAATCTGCATTTCACTTTACGAACCGGATGTCAATTTTATTACGTGATTTTGATTGGACTATGCATAGCCTCTTTAGTCCAGCCAACACACAACTCCGAAATTACAGCCAAGTTCAGAAAGGGTGGAGTCTGGACTTTTATAGTCAGGTAAGATGTTTCAGAACATGCCTCAGATAAACAACCATGGAAGTTAAACATGTTAAACACAAACTTGTTAATTAGTTGTCAGTCCAGCTGTACTGAACATGCGGAATTTCACACAAAATGCTGCAAATTAAACCTAGAAATAAGTATGGAATAAGTATTGTATCTTTGGGTAGGTATAACATTTGACATTTGGGATTTCATCGTATCCCAATTGCGTGGATCGATGCTCTTGATATCAATCACCGGATTGTCTGGTCCAGACTCGATTATTTACAGACCGCCATCATATAGCTGGAATATTGCTGAATGCGTAGATAAACAAACAAATAGGCATATCTGATCATTCAGACTGATGATTCTCTGGCGCAGATGTTTCATGTTTATATTCAGTGAACAGTTTTATGTTGATATTACAATGGTTTCACTGACTCAGAGTGCGGCGTAAAACAACAAACCAAACCAAAAGGTATAACATTACCATGATTACCCCACTATGTTAAGTTTTAACCAGAACCATGGGCTACGACTGCCTACTGGCAAATACTGAGTGTTTAACCTGTGCCAGAGTGGAGTGTCAAACAGTGGTAGTCATTTCAGGTGCTATGGCTGAGTTCACTAATGCAGGCGTAGTGGCCACATCATTTCCGATTCCTGTGATGGGATTTGAACCACAGGTCTTCTAATCCCAGTTTCGACGCCTTGTCCACATGACCAAAGAGGTTAGCTCCATCAGGAAGCTAAGAAGGTGTGGAATGACTCTACGTCCTGCAACACCCCCGTCAACAGAAGGCACGTCTCGGAACACATAGTTGTTACTGAGACTTATTTTGCACAAATTTGATATGAACTTTCTCAAACCCATGGTGGGGGCCAGAGAAGCAACCATAAAATGTCTGATTTTCATGATGGACTTGAACCACAGACCTACCCTGTCCACATGACCAAAGAAGTTAGGACCGTCATCAAGCTGACAAGGTAAGATGTAAGGAATTGTAATTCCTCCACACCATCAACACTCTCAAGGAGTATCTCTTCCACACAGAACCATTCAGCTCAGCTACAACCATTATTAAATGTACCAATGTCCTAACTATACCCTTCACCCCTGGAACATAATGGGACAATGCTGTTCATGCACAGTCATATTTAGGTTTTACTTTTACCAGTTTACAAGACTCTGGCTTCAGGCCTGTGGTATGCTTAATTACTGCCCCACACTCAAATGCACTAAAGCATAGCAAGGCTGGACAGCTGTAGATCCAATTAGTGCCATCTACCTCTAATGTAGTCTTGTAGACTGCTTGGATAATGAGCAATGATCAAATTGTGCTGTGAAATTAGCATGATTAGACTTGATTTCAGAGCAATGTTTTTGTGACTATAGATTAAATTTCCTAAAGTGTATTATTCTTCTCTGGTTAATGATTCGGAAAATTGATGCTCGGCTGTTTGATGGTCCAGTGTAAACCAATCTCATTGAAATCAGATCTTAGTTCTCGCTACCGCTAAACAAAGATCTGAGGACATCCCATTACAATGCGTGAAATCCCTTCTGGTGTCCCCGATGTGATATTACTGGATTATTGATAAAAGTAGCGTAAAACCATACTCACTATCGACCCATAAGTATCGTATATGGCCGTATTTGTGTACAGTTATGTATTTATTGACACTTAATGATATGAGGGTCAATGATGATGATGTTTTAACCTACATATCTAAATAGTCATATGTGAATACACGAATCAGTTCTCATGAATTAAATGCACCACATACTGATGAGAATAATATCTGATAAAATCAACATGTTAAGGATAAGCTAACCATACATGTTTTCACTCAAAATACGGTAATAGAATTCCGTGATTTTTCCAAAGAAACGCTCTCAACCTCTTCAAATAAATTTGACGTGGAAATTGGGAGAATCTGATAATATTCATCGCACATGTAACCAGGGGGTGACTCTACCTCTTAGCTACAACTAAATGGCTCAGAACCATGAATCCAATTTTCCTAGCCGTGAGCTATGATGCAAAGTATTGACCATTTGTGTTGACAGTGGTCTAGACTGCCGGACCCACTCACGCCTCTCGGCTACAATTATCCATGAACCGCATAACCCACACTCGAAAGGAAAGGACGGTCATGTGTCATTCATTCCATACTATTCACTTACGCCCTTGCTTTTTCGTCAAATACTAGAAAGTGTTTAGTTTTTCGATTCTTTGGCGCTTTGATTTTCTTCTTCGTGAAACCCATGCTCGTTGTTTGTTCCGGAAGTCAATGAAGGGCGACAACTCTTGTACCTTCCGTTGCAAATAAGTATTTTGTGAGAGCATCGATAGTAGTTACTTTGTGATGTTTGTGTGTTCGTATCACCACGTTCGTGTGACCAGGCGTCATTCTTTTTGCAAATAATATCAAATCTACTGTAAAATAATTCAAAGTTGGTGCACACAGAACACCCATTTCCAGGAAAGGAGGAAATATACACCATATGTGAAACGACACAGCATGTCGCATCGTCAGGCAGACGACGTCATGGGAGCAAGAATGTACAGGTACGACCAATAAGGTGAGTATTTGACATAAATGAGATGTTTAACTGATGAAAATTACAGCTTCATTCACCCAGTTTGCCTTCATGTCGACCCGGTTTAAAAAGGATAGCAATTCTTGTTATGTTGTTTGACGCGAGGTAAATCGGGGACTTGGTTGATATCGTGCCATTGTACCCTGTATGTCTATCACCAGAGAGTACCCCCTGTGATCAGAATCCACTAGCTGTGTCTGTCACCAGAGAGTACACCCCGTGTGTCATCAGAGTACACCTTGTGTCATCAGAGACTACACACTGTCTGCCATCAAAGTGCATCCCGTCAGTTATAAGAGAGTGCACCCTGTCTAACATCAGAGTACACTGTGTTTGTCATAAGGGAGTACACCGTCATCAATGAACTCCCCATCTGTCATCAAAGTGCACCCTGTCTAACATCAGAGAGTACATTATGTTTGTCATAAGGGAGTACACCGTCATCAGTGTACTCCCCATCTGTCACCAAAGTGCACCCTGTCTGTCATAAGAGAGTACACCGTGTGTGTCATCAATGTACTCCCTGTCTGTCATCATAGTACACCCTAAAATGTTAATCATATAAAAAACCGAACACGCAAATGTGAGGTGTTGAATTAAAGAAAGAGGATGGGAAAGGCAAAGCTCAAAGAATCTCAGCGAAATCAAATTCCGTTTCTCTTGTTTCTATTTTATCTAGCCAATTTCATTATTTTTCTTTCTATTTCTTTTATTTGGCGTTAATAGCCAATTAATCATATCCATCTCCGTGAGACATTTCAAAGATGTAAGAACGTCAATGGCGATAGTCTGCTAGACTAATAACGGAGCGCGTTGATGATGATGACGAAAGTGGCGGTAAATGTTACACTGATGTTCGAGTAAACATGATAAAGGTCGGACACCAACAATTCAATATCTTCAAAGTCGTCTGTCATTTTTTTTGTTTCAAGACAAACAATTATTTTGATGAGATTCAGAAAAGAATAAAACCTGACGCAGACGTATTCTTTTTCTGAAACAAAAACGTCCCCCCAACCCCGGTCGAGCCTCAACCAACACCCCCCCCCCCCCCCCCCCCCCCACACACACACACACCCAACCTCCAGCCCGCACCCCCAGAATATCACAAGGTAGGTCCCTTATCAGATACTCCGCAGTGATATTTTCTCGTTCAAACGGGGATCGACAGATGGGGCGTTGCGTCTTATTGATGAAGCATTTCGATGAACTCGTGAGGGGACACGGGTGGCTTCATACCGGCGTTTACCCAAACTCGCCCTCTCTATTCAGTGGGGTGGTCGGGTAGCCTAGTGGTTAAAGCGTTCGCTCGTCACGCCGAAGACCCGGGTTTGATTCCCGACATGGGTACAATGTTTGAAGCCCATTTCTGGTGTCCCCCCGCCGTGATATTGCTGGAATATTGCTAAAAGCGGCGTAAAACCATACTCACTCGCTCACTCTTTTAGTAGAATCTATGTTGTGGACGCGGCTGTGAAGATTCCGGGTCTAAATAGGTCCACAGCAATCTATGCTGGTCGTAGGAGGCGACTTATCATTAAGGGATCGGGTGATCAGGATCGCTGACTTGGTTGATGAGGTGGCCTCATCACTCACAGGATTATCTGGTGCAGACTCTATTATTTACAGGGGTCATATAGCTGGAATATTGCTGAGTTCGAGTGCGGCGTCAAACAACAAATAAACAAACAATCTTTGTTTTCGATACATACAGCGCAGGACAATAATGCAATATTTTATTCAATATTTTAATTTAATCCAACAATACTGAAACATAAAATATAAATTACAAAAATGAAATCCGATCTTGTACCTTTCTAACATGGCACTTCATTTCAACATGTCACGAACGACTATCTATAGTATGTCGATTTCAATTACCCCTCCCCCTCAGTCCAAGGTCCCTCACCCCGTCTCACTGTTTCCCACAATAGCCGGATGTCAGAGTAACCAGGAAGTCATCGTCACAGTGAATAATGCCATCTCTCTCTGTCTCCACACTATAAATACACCACAGATAGGTCATGGCCTTTGTCTCTATGACACTGGGAGTTTATATACTTACCAACAGGTCTGGTTTCCTGTGTCATCTATTTTATAGACATGTATATTAGTGTCCATCACATCGTGTGTCTATTTATATTAAAATGAATCGCAGTTATTTAATGTATACGTTATGAACTATTGAAGCTGTGGCAGTCATGTTGGTGCGAACGAAATCTTAATGCTTCCCTCGCATACGGCATAACTCGTCCTAGACATGACCCCTTTAATTCCGAACGAATAGTATAAGGAACGTCTCCCCTCCGTAGGGACCTGGATTAGAGTTAGTCCCAGGGTCTAGATTTTTCAAAACGACGTTAGGGCTAAGATGATCTAAAATTTACCGTAACGAAAATGTAATGTAATATATTATATAGAACTAGCATGTAAGAATGCCATATATATTAAGATAGATACATACCTTTCGTAAGTATAATTTACATCTTCATCCAGGATGTTCTGTCATAGATATATTTGATGATGATGATGGATTGATAAGAAAACCAAGAATATTCCGAGACAGAATTCGTCGTCTCCATACGCTGGATTTATGGAACTTTCCTCACGCTAGCAAATACACTGTATATTTTTTGTCGTAAGAGGCGACTTAATGGATCGGTTCGGTTGCCTCGGTTGATAGTGTGTCATCGTACCCCAACGGCGTGGTACTTTGCTCATAATATCAACCCCTGGTTTGTCTGGTTCAAAATCGATTATGTACAGGCCGTTGTCATATGGATAGATTATTACTATGTGGGGTGAAACAACAAAAACAAATTCAAAAATAAAGAACTTCTACATGTCTACATGTACCGTGCCAGTGTTTCCTCAATCCAGACATTTGTTAATTCGGATTATTTCAACGAGAAGTTTTCTGAAAAGCGTAGGGATGGCTGTAAATGGGTCATGGCCTCCTACAGAATTGTTATCCTGATATTCAACACTTCACAGCTCCGAACATCCGCACTTGGCAATTCATGAGGCTATTATAATGAGTTATAAATAGTCACCAACACAACTATTAAATACACGTTTTATTCCAAGGAACTCGGCTTCCCAAACATGTATACAATATCACACGACATTTTGAAATGTTAAGTGTACTGGATATTTGTAGTCTGTCGCCTTAGAAATGTTGATTGATAAGTTCTGTGCCTCAAATTGAAGGGAAGGGTGGGGTGGTGGGGTGTAACGGGGGTGGTGTGTGTGTTTGTGCGTTTGGGGGTGGGGGTGGGGGTGGGGGTGGGGTGGGTGGGTGTGTAACGTGTGTGTGTGTGTGTGTGTGTGTGTGTGTGTGTGTGGTGGAGGGGGGGGGGGGGGGGGGGGGGGGTAACCTTTTAGTTAAAGCATTCGCTCGTCACGCCAAAGTCTCGGGTTCGATTCCCCACATGGGTACAATGTGTGAAGCCCATTTCTGGTGTCACCCGCCGTGATATTGCTGGAATATTGCTAAAATCGGCGTAAAACCATACTCACTCACATATTGAAGGAATTTTGTGACCATGTATTGGCACTTTCAGTTTGTCCATTTTCCAAAGGTCACAGACCTCTGCTTAGTTTACTGACTTGTCACATCGAAACAGTTTGCTCAGTTGACTCAAGTGTTTGTGGACATACCTCTATGACATCATGTACTGTTAACAACAAAGAACTGCTCTATTATGCAATTCCTTCTTTGTGAGACTCATGGCTTATCAAGCAACTCTAGTCAGTATGGCTGGAGAGGGCACGGTAGGCCCAGTTTTCTAAGACGCCGTAATTCGCTGTGCAGAGTTGCGTCTTGGGCACGACAGTTGTTAACCGTTGGTTCGAATCCCAGTTTAACCTTGATCGTGATTCTTGGTAATGCCTCAGTCACATATACAACGGTCGCCGGACGAAGTGGGGGCATCGGTGGTTTTCACCGGGTTTCACCGGGTTTCACCGATTTCGCCGTCGAAATTGCTGCAAGTGCTGTATCGCCTTTCAGTTTGTGAATTTGTGTCACAGATCCATTAACGATTTGGGTGTGGACCACCGGTCGCCGCAAGAAAAAAATTCCGAGTTATTTTCTTCCGATGTGTCCACCGGGGTCTTCCCGATGTCAAAAACATGGCCAATGCTCACAAATGATCGTCCGGCGCCCCGTCGGGTATCTCTCGATTCTGCCGATTTTCAGCCTTTTCGGGCATCGTAAATTAATCTTTCCCGGCATCGGTGGATATGTGACTGAGGCATAAGCACCATACCCATGCTCGTGGGTTTCCCCAACATGGCACGCCCGGAATCTGCATCACTTCGGGCTTTTCTCTCACAGTAGTACTAATCTATATCTGAAATACTGTTCAAAGCGACATAAAATACAACTCACTCACTCTCGTTTCTAGCTCTCAAAATATACGCAAACTGATGAAGATCCTCGCATATCTTAAATAAATCGCACCGAAATAGTACCACGCGTCTTCCAGAATCAGCTGGCAGTTCTTTGGGTTGAGTATGTCGGACGGTCACGCAACCCACACGCCTAAACTATTTGCTAATGAATAAGAGATCTCAGGGACAGCTAGTTCCTTAATGGATAGTGCCTTGAAAGATCAAATGTTTCCATGACATGAATAGGATGCCGGGATATAAGTGATGGTTTGGTCGGGGGAACTGAAGACATTGGAGGGAAGCA